CTTCTTTTGATCCCAAATTTTCAGGTGATTCCGGTTGTTGTACAACTGAAATATGGCATGATTTATATCGAAAAAAGTGTATTACCCGTATTGCTTTGACGTTAATCAGCCCATTTACGAGGTAGGCTTAATCGTTCCGTTCCCTTCTTTGATCCCAAATTTTCAGGTGATTCCGATCGTTGTATAACTAAAATTTGATATGATTAATATCAAAAAAATATGTTACCTGTTCTGCTTTGATTTCAATGAGGCCTTCTAGGTAGGCCTTCTTCGCCATTTCAAATAGGTTGTCCGGATATAGTAAAACGCTAGCGAGCGTCAGCTACATCTTTCATTGTCCAGGTTTTTGCTTTGTTCTGTGATAGTCCCGATCTTCCATCATGTGACCATAACTGTAAGTGTTTATATAAGTCTAGTTTTAATCCTCGAATCTTTTGCTGGGTTGCGGCGAGCCGGTTTGATGTTATTTCGATGGGTTCGGTTGATCCCATTTTTTTGTACGCCTGCAATTGCTTTGCTTAAGCTCCCGAAAATTTCGATACCCGTAGCGCTGATTGTAGCGATTTTGTAATTTGTGGTTGTTGTACCGGAATGCTTTCATCTGGAGCTTCTACAGGCTCGCCAGACCAACGAAGCCCTTTTATTCTGCTCGTGGACACCATAACGTTTTCGAGCGCAAGTCCCTAAAACATTATTTCTGATTTGCATTCAGTTGCCTAATTTCCAACTGTCTTTGCTTTACATTAGCTTGGTTTAACAACGTTTTAAACTTAAAATTCTAAAATTCTTGCTTCGGCGCTTCCTGCTAACGCATGCAAATTTTATTTGGTGCCTCTTTGAGATCGCTCAAAAATTTCCAGAGAATCCGACCAAAAATTCTGACATTGCTAATTTTTTCATTATGAAGTTTGACGCTACAAATTTCGACTTTGAAAAAAACCTTTTTTATAGAAAGCAAGAAATGTTGAAGAAAAACAAGAAAAGAACTAGCGATTCCAAATGGTTTAAAAAATAGACATTTTTCGATTTCTTGACCAGGCCCTCTTAGCACGTAAAAACCCATCGCTAAAGCAAACAAAATCGGCCAATCGGCTATGCAAGATAATTATTCAAACGGAAATGTTTAGATTTGAATGATAATAAAAAATCTATTATTTAAAACGTCGAACCATTCGACTTTTTCACCATTCAAATTAACTCACTTGGCATTTGTAGACGGTATGTTGAACTTTAAAATGCGTGCTTGCATACTTGGCGAGCTACCGTTTTTACATCTACAAAAATCATGCCGAAAGAAATGGTAAAACTTACGTTTTGAATTTATAATTTTACATCAAATTATCGATCATTTTCGATGATCGTCAAGTGAAGCCTGTTTATGAAGGCATCGAGGTCGGAGAAATTCCCAGCAAGCAGAGGCGGCGCCTGAAATCAAAAAAATTGAGCAAGAGTCCCTGTATTTGAATAGCAGCGTCATAAAAACAAGGATGTGTTAAAAATCTTAAGATTTGGATTAGCATTTTCAATAAAGATTTAAAAATTAATTAGCACTATAAAAATTTACCGAATTCTTAATTTAATGATTAAAAAACCGAAACATATTCATGACACTGAAAAATGTCCTGAAAAACAGCTATCTGCAACAGCTATCTGCTCAATTTTTCAACTACTGTTTTTTTAATTACGTTACGGAAAATTGTATACTAATTGTAAGCTACTATTGTACGCTAATTGACGTTAAAATGTCTTTAGTACAAAATAGAATATAATTATTCATACATCCACATAGAATTAATATAAAAATAGCATGGTCAAGACTACAGTAGAGAGAGACTAAAACCTCTAGACCCCGAAAATGGTAGGAATAGTCCACAGCTAAAATGATAATGACGTGGGTAATTTCAAGGTTTTTGGAACTGCTATGGTTCTTAGGAATTTAGCCTTCCTAGTCCTTTTAAAAAATTTTGAGAACCAGTGTCTACTTTGTCCGAGCCTTAAGCCTAAGTTCTTAAAACTTAATGTCCGCTAATAAACATAAAAGCAAGGAAAGACACAGACAAGGCTTTCTACATTATCGATTTTCTGAGCCATGGAAGTACTATTTTTTGCATTACCGATACCTTCAATGTCTCAAAAATCACAAGGGACTGAGAGGGAAAGGTCCTTGGCCAAACAGAAGTCGGGAGAAATCCGAAAATTTGCCAAAATCCGAACTATGCTGAAACATCGTTTTTCCAGGCCCCATTCTACGAAATTGTGGTCTGCGTAACCGTAGTCGACTTGCTACACATGTTGCTGCAATGGTTCCAGACATTTACAAAATTGATGTTTCCGAAGAGCTGTTTCGCAATAACTACATGGCTCGATCGAACCATTATTGGTCGGTGGGTCTCGAAATGCTGCAAATGCTAGCACTATCTGAAAATATTAGAAGAGGAATCAATATCGGAAAAGGAAGGAATCAAGAATTTGGTTACGACTAACGATAAGGTCCAGGCCATGAAATAAAACCCTTTTTGCTCTGAAAAATTCTGTTGAGGCCAATACGGACTCGACACGACCGATCAGGCACTTCACATTTTTGTTTTCCTGATTTCGTTGAACCGTTTCGCAGTATTTGTCGTCTCAAAGCTGCTGATCATTTTCACCAGGTAATAAATTTAGAAGGGATCGCTCTCTTCCCCCCTCGCTCTCTCTCCCGCTCTCTCTCTCTGTCTCTCTCTCTCTCTCTCTCTCGCTCTCTCGCTCGCTCACCCGCGTTCTCACTGTCTGTCTGTCTCCCCCCTCTCTCTCTCTCTCTCTCTCTCTCTCTCTCTCTCTTTCTCTTTTCCTCCATCTCTCTCCCGCTCTGGCTATCTAGCCGGGATCATTGTGCAAATTCGATTTCCAGACGCACCATGCCGTTGACGATCAGTGCCTGCCTAATTTTTCTTGGCGGACTAATGTTCCTTCGCTCAATGGGACCCAGAAGGCAGTTGACGAACGATCCACGGGACCAACACCCTCCCGATCAACCACCGCCACCTATGGAGACCACAGCAAGACCGTTCAACATTGTCGCTTTTCTGCCAACGGTCATACAGTATGGGATGCCCTTGATCAGTCTCGTCTTCTATGTGCTTTGCTATTTAGAACTGCGGCAGCAAAGGTGTGGTAATTGGTGCATAAAATGGAAACGACTTACGCTAGGGTAAAAAATGTCAAAACTAACCACTTGGAAATTCATAATGTCAAAAATTCATAATGTAGAAATTGGAGAATGTCGAAATTTACATAAGTAAACGCAAAAATTTTCTGCATGTGAAAACTTCGACCTAGGAAATTTCGACATCCTGAAATTTCGAAAAAGAAAAATCAATTTTAGACAAAAAACTACAACAACCATAAAAAACCACGACAAGACCCTGCTGTTACAGGTGTTTATCGAGTCCGTACTTCTCGAGGTAGATCATTTATGTAAATAGAGAATTTGCCAGCACTTAGATGGTACGCGGCATCGATTTGATACCACAGTTAACGGACGGCTCACCGACAGCAACGTTGCTCGATTCGGCCAAGTCTATGGCGACCGGTGTGTCGCGTAGTTGCTTGGTATTGGAGCCTAAAACCTTCTCTCCATAACCTCAAAGATTTAAATTTCCAGCTTGTTTATCTCTAATTTTACCTTATATAATTTAAAATTAAATTTTATATTGATTCCATGCTAAAGATTAAATGGATCAGCCTGGATCAACAAAACCTTATTTTTTAGTGTGCAGCCACGCCCTAAATTCCATCTTCTTCCTCGCCATGAATCATACCGCACACACCGTTCTACGGTCCATGCTGCCGTGCTTTAGTAGAACATCAAAACTTCCGCTTTCAACGCTTAAGCCGGTGGCTAGGTAACTCAAGAAAGTATAGCTTGTGGTGATAACTTTTTTCAGAGGACGAGCGGCTTCCCATCCAGTCGTCATATCAATGAGTCATCATTCGAACGCCTGCTAATCCACTTGATCATCGAGATAGGGGAGAGAGAGAGAGAGAGAAAGAGAGAGAGAGAGAGAGAGAGAGAGAGAGAGAGAGAGGATGAGAGAGCGAGATAATGGGCAACACATGTAACGCTCTGAGAAACTGTTATTTTTAAAGAGCCATGCAACAAAATAATACTAATAACATGTCGGCGCAGTAATAAACGCTTTACAAATACAAATGAACTTGGCAAATCGACAAACCAATCGAATCTAAAAAGTTAATCTTCTAAAAATCGAGATGTAGTTAGTTTAGTTGCAAGCGTATTTTTCGCTAACTAGGGAATGTTTTCGGGCGGACATCGGACCCAGCTATGTGAGTATGTGCAAAAAGGTATCCGCAGCTAAAAGTTACATCAAACGATTCGTCTCGTCGAGCTCTATAAGATGCACATACTCACATAGCTGGGTCCGATGTCCGCCCGAAAACATTCCCTAGTAAGGGCACCTCAATCGGGAAAGATGGTTAAAAACGCCTTGTATAGCACTTGCCATCTGTCGGGGGATTAAAAAGGGCAAAGATGAGGGGCCCCGTAGCTAGGGCCTCAAAACCCATGGTCATCCACTTGACACAGATACCGTTTAGCATGTCCTTTGTTCCAATCATTTGGCAACCTCATTTAATTTTGATCTTTTATCTATCAGCTGGTAATCAGCCTTCCGCTTGCTTCACAGTGCAAAAATTTCAGCTGCCTTGTCAATGCAAAAAATTCGGGTTCCATGTAATTTTACGCAAAATCCTCATGGTATTAAATTATTTTAACTGCTTCTCACAACATTTTCTCATCACTAGACAACTTGATAGATTGACCGTTGCTCATCCGGTTCGAAATCAAGAAATGTTTGAATTTTCTGGACCCAAAACGCTTTGATCCTTTCAAGCCGTCGCAGCCTGGCTTTGGTAACTGTCTCTGATCTAAAGGCGCTGTCATCGGAACTTTGGCGTCTTCGGTGACCTCGCCTGCATGCGAGAGACATACATGCATCTATGACGTCAACGTGGAAAACACGGAAAGGTAGGCAGCAGCTTGCTTGGGAATCACGCTTCTTCTTCTCCGCAATCTGATGGCCATCTAAAAATATTTATTTGGTGAAAGGCAAAATAAAGGGACGCGGAAGTGCCAAATCTAACTGTAAAGTGTTTTTACTCAACTTGGAGTTTCGATTCGGGACCAAGTGCATCATGTACAGAATTTTTCGTTGATTCCGAATATGTTTTGCAAATTTGCTACGGACCGTTATTTAAAAAATCATTTTTGGTAACAATTAGGCCGAAAAATGCCAAAATTCAGACGATGGCCCACTATTCCTTTGTTTGGGGGCTAGGTTCCCAGGGGCCCTGAAGTACCCTCTGACAGCACCACCTGGTTGGCACCATGGTGCATTGGCAAGTACTTGTTGTTAAGCGCAGGGCGGAGTGGTTCTGAACCCCGCCCTGCATCACTTCTTTTGCTTTTTACATAAAATCTCATTTTTATCTAAAATGCTTTGTTTTTGAGGCTGTAGGATGCTGGGTCGAGCCAACGTTTCCTAGTCAATTTTGACGTTGAAATTAATGAAGAAAATAGAAAACTATGACGATACCTTCATTTTGGTGAAAACTAGTCATAATTGCCGTATAACTTTCAGAATAACGGTCCGTAGCAAATTTGGAAAACATATTCGGGATCAGCGAAAAATTCTGCACAAGATGCGCTTGGTCCCGAATCGAAACTCCAAGTTGAGTAAAAACACTTTACAGTAAGCGCTTATGGGAGGCGCCTTATATTTTTGGAAAATTGCCAGCGTCGCAGCGGGAGGAGAGAGAGCCCTGGCTCTTTCGATCCTTGCGCGATTTCTTTGTGAAAACACTATAATTCGCAATTCGCCAGAAATATAAGTCCCCAAAGGGCTTATAGTTAGCACTTCCACGCCCCTTTCAGCGCTGCATCGTAGTCTAAACACGGTGCCAAGCAACCCTAGAAACGCTGATTTTTCAGAACATTGCGGCAACTTCAAACGCCATCAATTTTGGCTGGCAATTCCAATAAGCGGCGAGACCAGGTTCTAATTCTATTATTCCGGACCTGTACACAAACCGAACTACACGCGGCAATTCTATTATTCCGGACACGTTCCTATTAAAGTACTGATAGAACATCATTCATAGAACATCATTCCAACCAATCCGGCAGCACCAACATCAAATTATAAATTGAATTGAATGAATTCTATCATTCGACCCCGACATATAAAAATTCGAAGACACAAATCTACTAAAAAAACCGAGCTATCTTTCCACGTGATGCTGTCTGCATTGCCACACACTCGTGTCAGTGCGGGGTCGTTTTCGCGGAAAATCAGCTGTTAACCCAACAATAACTCATTCTATGCACACAATTCCACGATCCTGAGGACTATGGACAATCGCTTCCCCTTGCATCGTGCCTGAGAGTCAAAGCTACGCATGGCTGTCTGGCAAGCTTGCGTCCTTCGTCGGCCGAAGCATGGCAGCCGATGAGTAATCGAACCCGTGTGAGTTTTGGCGTCGCCTTTTGCCACCAAAAATCCTGTTGTATGTGTGAGAAGTCTGTGAAATTTAAAGACAACAATGTTCTCAGGGCGGGGCGGTCAAGTTCTCATTATTCTTAGCCTTTCAAAAAGCAAACCAACGCGGCTTTTGTGGTAGCTGATCGGTTTCCGCTGGCCCGCTATAAAATCAACTAATTAAAACATTAGCAGCTCGAACAACATAAAAATTATTTATTTTCTTACAAGCTGAAGTCTATCGACAGGCCAAAAAATATTTTTTATATATCTTTCAAACACTTCCTTTTCAGAGACGACACTCCGGAGCTGTGCCGTCAGTCGGATTCGCAGTTTACCAATTCTTCGATTGAAATCCTCCTCACAAATTTCTTGCTGAATAAATATTTTGTGTGTAAAGAATTCGTATGGATCCATCATTTTATCGCCATTTACAAGAAAATGCAAAGAGGAAAGCTCCCAGATTTACAAAGACATTATTGCTGTTTTGCTAAATTGTCAAGATTAAATTTCTCAAATCGAAAATATATTTTAATCGTCAGATCTTCGTATAGCTATTATCTAACACGTGCGGAAACGCTCATAAAGGCAAGGAAAACATCCTTCTCTCGGACACCCCGGAAAAAAATCGATACCCAATTTCTTGCGCTATAAATTCCCGGTGTCCCACGGGCCGGCTCCTCGCCAAAATGGCGCCGATTTCTCTGTTTTCTGACATTCTTTAGGTTTCTCTGCAAATTTTAAGTTGTGTATTCTCATCCATACAAATTGAGTTTTTTTCTCTACTTCACAGCATTTTAGCTTCACCCAAAAATGGATTACGGCGAGGAAATCGGCGCGGGAACCTACGGCGTTGTTTATTTGTGGCGCGATGGCAATGAGTATGCTTATTTTTTCCAAATATGATTTTTTAAAGTGCTGTGATTGTCAAACGTCCGCAAACACGTGGTCGCTATGACGAATTCCGAGAAGAATTATTGATTTTGAAGAAATTTGCGCACCCAAATATTGTCAAGTATCGGGACCGTCCGGTTAATTACACAGTCGCTTCCGAAGATCTGTTAATATTTATGGAGTATTGTGAGCATCATTCGTTGCGAAATGGTAAGAAATTTGGTTTATTTAAATTCCCAGGAATTTTATAAAACCCTTAACAACCATTTAGCCTTGCAAGTAGGGCTTCGTTATATAAAATACTATTTTGTGTATTCTAGATTTTAGTTTATCCTACTATATATAAAAAAATAGTGTCTGTGTGTGTGTGTTTGTGTGTGTGTGCCACTTTGCATCCACTTCCGTTTGTCTGTCCGAGGATATCTCACGAAGGGACGGGTATTAGGCTACGTATGATACGTCATTAGGTGCGTAATGGTCTAGGGATGACTGCACACATACCAGATTTTTAAAAATTAGCCATTTTCGCTATTAAATTTAAGTTTTTGTAAAAACCTCTTTGTTAGGAATAATTAGCATAGAGCGGAAGTGGGTGGTCGCCTATATAAAGAGGCAGAAACGGTTGTTTTGATTTTTTTTGTCTTCTGATTGAATGGAGGACAATTATGCAAAGCGAAAAATAGTATGGGGTCCGAGACGGGGCCAGGGTTCAAAAGTCGCGAAGCGGCTTTTCAACCCTGGTTTTAGTAATAAAATCACTTCAATACATCTATCATCTCAACAATATCATACAATGGTTGAATCATATTTTCTGCGGTCTGGAGTATTTATACATGCAGAAGACGGTTCACGGAGATTTGAAGCCGGAGAAGTAATCTTTGAAGTTTCATGAAGCCCAAATTTTTTTAGTATTTTCGTAGACAGGGGCTTCGTTTTGAAACTCGGTGACTTCGGGAGCCTCAAACAGCTCGGCGATTCCGCTGACTTGCACGAAGCTTTGCAAGTCGGCACCCTGGGATATATGGCGCCGGAGTACTCTAGCATGGTCGTATCCGAGCTGACTTCGGAGGTATCGTTTCAGTTCAAATTTCGTACTTGTGAGACCCGGGTTTTCCGTAGTTATAAAAAGGGATGGAAATGGAAATTAAGACTAAGAAGAATTGCCCTTTTAACGTCATGTATTTTAGGAACGCTACAAAGCTGACGTCTACAGTTCCGGGATCGTGCTTATGGAAATCGTCAATCGCCGGCAAGGCTTTATAAAATCCCTAAAAATTTGAGCAACATTCAGAAACCACATTCCAAATGCCGATGTTGTTTTCGACTTCGGCGTGCCGGACTACCTACAGGAAATACTAACTTTGTAAGAAATGGAGACAAAATGGCAGTGGAAGAATTAGGTGCACTGCTTCTGTCGACGAACGCGCTAATTGTGGCGATGTGCTACAGAAAGTCCAAAGCCACTTGAGCCAGGTATACTTACGTCAAGAAACAGAGATTGACTACTTACTTACAGAGACCGTGCGACCCTCCAGAAATTTGTAGGAAGCAAGCATGGCTTGTGAAACCTGTTGGGCTTGATGGCTCCAATCTGAAACTACCGATACCGCGGGAAATGCCAGCAGACGAGACGCCTAATAGTTGGGCACTGAACAGCAGGTTCTCTGAGGCTCGCCAGCCGGAAGCCAATGAAGCCGGCGAGCAACGTTATGCTCCTTTCGACGATCTAGTAGAAAAAGCAAAGGCCACAACGAGCTTCCACTCACGCATTATTCGTCACCGGTATCTGCCGGCTGCCCTGAAAAATTTGAGGGAGATTTATGAATTCTCGGAGGAATGGCTTCGCGAACGGGATGTAAATCAAATCAGAGCTTCCTTAGCGAAAGTGGCAACCGAATACCTTGAAAAGGTTGAAAACAAAAAGGATTTTGTCGAGAAAATCAGCGACTATCGTGGCTTCCTCGAGCACAATCCGCTGGGTGATTTGCTGGAATGGCAAGAGCTCCGCTTGCGACCGATCAATAGCAGGCATTTTTGATCAAAATAAACTATGGGTTTCTAGAACTTCGACGTCGCACCTCAATTTCCTGAAATCCTTTGCGCAGGACAAATGGCCAAATTTGGGAGGTGACGAAGGTGAGCCTTGATTTGCGCAATTCAACAAAATTTCGCCTACTAATACAAGGTTATGCTAAAAATCGCAAGCAAAGAACCGAAGTTAGCATCATCCTGCTCCTGTGTTTCGAACCCTCCAGACAAGAGCTCTGCCAAAGCTTTGATGAATGTTTGAATTCTGAAAGAAACTCGGCGGTTGATTTTGTAAAATGGCTTTTTTAGAAAATTTAGTTTAATTTTAAAAATACAAACTTCGAAACTTTTAATTTAGAGCCTCTCTCTCAAACCCAAAGGCATACCCGTCTTGCTCCAGGCCGTTTACTGTTAGCCGTTATATAACGCCGTTTTTACGCTTTGGATTTAATAAGCTAGCCGTTAGCCATTTACAGAGCGAAATCACCGTGCAAAGTTCCGAATTGGATTCCCCATCGATAGCGCTTTCCGTTTTTTTCGTTTGCCGAATGGGTCGAAAAAACCACCCCTTATAAGTTTAGCGACCGGCCGCGCCGCGAACTCCCTGATGCCCCTCGTCAGGCTCGACTATTTCATCCAACTCCACTGCATGATCTCGGCCCTCGAAGTGATCGCACTTTGCAAGGAGACGCGGGATCGACTGTCATCGCTCGATCTCTACAGGCTGACCACGATTGCGTTAACCAACGTGGAACAACTTGATGGAATTTTTACAAAACGGTAACTTGTGTCGTCCTTCATATAACCAGGCACTCTCAGCTTGAAGCTGCCCGTACTGCTCTATAAACAACCACAAGACCAATGGTACGAGGTGGTCCCGATGAAAATGGTGTTCCGGACCGACCTGAGCGCTGCCCAGCCAAAATGGCCAGATGATCATGAGGTCCGGAAGGCGCAGGACGCGCCATTAGGTTGAGTTTTGAGAACAACTTATCCTTCGATTATCCAGATATTGAAACCATCAGACGAGCGTTGATCGTCGAAATGACGGCACTTTGTCACCCAAACCCGTTCCAAGGCCAGGCTTATCCGAGGATGCAGCTAGATCGCTTTTTTTGGAAATTCCACGATCGCCTTGAGCTGAAGCTTATTACCGTTTGTCTTTGATCCTACTCCGGAACGCGTCAAAGCTTTCAGGAGGATACGCAAAAATGCAAAGTACACGATGCTGAGGAAGTTCTGCAGAAGCATCGCGAAGCCTGTGGCGAGGATCTTATGAAAGTAAGCTTTGGTCAAAAATTGTGGTGGTCGCTTCAGTACTCCTCAATTAACTATGGGAAATAAGATAGTGGAGTTTGTCAATTATTACCTTTAGCGCTACTTCTTTTTCCTGGATGAGCCGCCAATGTTTCCATGTTCTCACGAGACCGATTGTCCGAGGGCGGGTGGGTACCTTCGGGTAACTTTTACAAGAAAAATAGGTTACCCAACCGATGTGCCGAAAGAGCTGCAGTACCAGTATCACCCTTGTAGCAATGCCGAGCACTTTCAATTCCTGAAAGCGCACTCCGCCATGAATCGGGCGATCCGTTACTTTTCCCTGCTTGACTTTCCGTCCAGTTGCAATCGTCCACTTATATTTCTGCTTGACGATCTGCTGCAAGAGGTTTCAGACGCAGAGGTATGGTTCGGAAGACTTTGAAAATTTCGAAAATTTTTCTAAAATCGGTACCTGTAATCTCCAGGGTCTCAAAAATCAGAATCCAAATTTCGAAATCACTAAATGTCAGAATCTCAAAATATGAGAATCTGTCTATTTCAGAATAAGAATATTCTATACAAATTTTAGTCATACTTTCGAGATATACGTGCTTTTACCAAAAGGCACCTTTGAAAGCTTGTCCGGGGTAGTGTTTCGAGCTGGTCCGGAAAAATGCAACTATTAAGCATGACACTTTATTTTATTTGCAGCCCTGTCCAGGATTGCTTCGTTGCTTTTTTTCGGAAGCTGGACAAAAACCGACCTTGACAACGTTTTCAAAGGCGGCTTTGGTAAAAATGGGTTACAGTCTCAATTTGCGCCAAAATCTAGTTAGCCCCAAAATTGTCACTTATTAGAGACCCTGAAAATTCGGGGTTCTGATTTTTAGAGTTGTTCTGGCGTTTTCAGTTGGATGATATCGCATTCAACTGCTTGACGGCAACTACAACATGCCAGTATCGCTATGCGGTCTCGCAGGAGTTTATCCCAAGTGAGCCAAATTCGGACGTTCCAAGTAGTGATGGGCTTATTCAAATCAAATCTTGACTCAAATCTGAGAGCTCAAATCTGAATATTTGAAGGCAAAAAATTTCAATTTCAAATCGGCGGATTTGATTTGAAATCCCGTGGGCGAGTTCAAATCAAATCTCGAGGATTTGATTAAGCTTCCGGTCCTTAATCAAATCTTATGGAGATGCCGGCATGCAAAACATAAAAAAAATCGCTATAGCCGAGCTGGCGCGAACCGGAAATGACCTTGATTATGCATGCCATCATAAAATTAGCATCCGCGTAATGAGCTATTGATTTTTTCGACTCCTTTCAAATCCTCGTTCAAATCTTCAGATTTGAACTCAAACCCCGAACCCCAAATCAAATCGATTTGATTTGAAGTGCTGAAACCTTATTCAAATCAAACCGTCAGATTTGATTAGGCGGATGCAAATAAGATTTGAGATTTGAATAATACCATCACTAGTTCCAAGCCGCCGCGGTGGAATTGTCAACCATGTGAAGAAAGTGAAATACCGTCCGTGCGACGTCGTGCCTGGATATCTGATCCAGGCGCCAACGAAAAACGACACTGTGCTTTGGGGACTTCGTTTGGGCAAAGCGCCTGTACGAGCAGGCCTCAACTTGGACTTGAAAGGTCGAGAACATTTTTTTAATATCGATTTTTGCGACTCATCAATTATCACTAATTTCTAGGTGTCGCTCAGCTGAAATTTTCGGATATTCGCCCAATTCTGGAGACGCTCAAAGATGAGCTGAAGGATTGGGACGATCGGTTGCTAATGGATGAAAGAAGGCTCGGAGGAGACTTTAGTACGTCTTCAAAGTTAGTTCCATCAAACAGTATTTCTAGTTCTTAGTAACGAATGGCGAGCGATGCGGCAGCAAGAGTATGAGCGAAAGATGGAGGCATTTTTTGAAAAATTGGAAAAGCTCACATCCTTCTCTACTGGTTTGTTTATTTAGGCTCCTTTTAGCCCGGTTTTAGAAAAACCTACGCTTCGCGAGAGGTTGAAAAACTGGTGGAACTCTCGATGATGTGCTTGGTTCATTTCCAGAATTTAACGGCATTGCATAAAGGATGAAGCATAAAGCATAAAGGATTTGCACTAGCGAAGGCTTGAATTGTGGAGGACCTTAGTATGTTGGCAACGTGTGGCATCTTCCATTGAATATTTATCCGACTCAAACGCGCTCTGTTTAGACTTGAGCAGAAACGATTAGAATATGTTTTCATCGGGGATTCCGATTTGTCTGAGAGGATGTTCATAGCTCCCCAGGTTGCTTCGATCATCTGTGCGCCACTTCCCAATCCGCGTGGACCTCTTCTGCACGCTTTTGTGAACAGTGCCATCCTTTCCAGCCGAGCGGTGTGTCTGGAAGATGCTTATTGTTAGTTAGATCAATATCAAAGGCCAGGAAACGCAACTAATGTAATTGCTACGAACCACTTTTTCTGAGTTGCCTCCGTGTAACAATATTTATATAAAAAAACGCAATAACATTTTTAAATGTCGCAATAAATGGGTTATAGAAAGAGCCGTTATTGGTAAAATCGAAGCTCAGGCTACCCAACAAAGAAAATGCTTACCTTGACCGGGAAGCTTTTGGCTGGCCGCTAACCAAGCCGGTAAACCATGAGTCTTCCTTGAGGGAAATGACCATGCAATTACTTTGTCGCGGTTTGGAAGATTCGCAAAATGGTCCAAATAGCGTTAAAATGTTGTGGTGATTGGTATTCCTTTCCACACCGTCCTTAAGCCATCTAATATGTACGTTCATGTTTCCCATGGGTATCAAAACTCCATCATCAGTACCTGCAAAAGAATTCGGTGCTTCCTGGTTATCGGGGGTCGGTTATTTTAGCGGGGGTCGGTTGCGAACTTCTTTCTATAATATCGTGCGGCTCGGCTAATTAAAAACTGGCCGTTTTTAAAGACTTGTGCGCCGTTTGAAATGGTTCTAGACTGTTAGCGGGGAGGAGACATTAAGAAAACGCGATCGTCATAAAGCATGTTGAAAAAATCTTTTTCGGTCTAACGGATATGGAAATGGCTAAAACCGCGCTTATAACCCTAGGATTTCGTGACTATAGGATAAATATTCGCATAATTTTTGGATTATCGGAAGCTACTAAAAACAGTAATAAAATAAACTACAATTTATCACTAGGCAGGTATAGGCTAAACGAAAGAAGATGCCAACCGACCCCCGCTAAAATAACCGACCCCCGATAACCAGGAAGCACC